AAAATAAAAATATGACTAAATTTTTGTTATATACATACCTAATGTATTATTATACTACTATAATTATATTATATCATACATTATTATAATTATTATAATCGTTTTTTTTTTTTTCGTCAAGCAACTGGTAAATTTTATTTCTATCCGTTATTGAGTATAACATTTGTTTTGTTACCTTTTAAAATATTATAAATGATTGTGAGAAATAATTTTTGTATATACATTGGCACTGAGGTAGATGAAACAGCGCTGTCCAATGGTTTTTTTCATTTGTGGTTCAGCTACAGAATTCTGTCTGTGACGAATATTGTAGCTATGCTCTATGTTTCGTATGATTGTTTTCTTTTTATATAGCCTATTTGCCATTACTTGAAAAAACAATAACCCTGGGTCAAGAATGTTGGTATCGGAAAACAGGAGATCGGTAGAGTAAAGTCTATCTTTCCGGTAAATAAGCTCAAGAAGCCATTTCTGTACTACATTAACACCCTTCAAGTACGTGTTTGTAACACCACCCCATGCTATTAGCCCGTATGTCAAATGAGATTGAACTTCCTGATTCAAAGAAAATATTTCCAAGTTAGATGGTTTTGGAAAACACAAGTGTTTTGCCAAAGTTCCAACACACTGTTAAATACTCATACTATGAGTTTTATATTGCTCTGACACGGCCAGATTTACGCAATATTTGGTGGTTTTGCTTTGTAAGACAATGGAGAAAACTGAATTCTCTCTCATTGGGTACTCTCGCTAATTGCAGACCGGTTTCGGACTTGTTATGTCCTCGTCAGTGCAATATAAGCGAAAAGCATATTGTAATATGTAATATAATATATTTCCCTGTAAAATCTGGATAAAGGCAATAAAGAAATAAGTTTTTTAGTCACATATTCTGTCTTATGATCCCATCTCAAGTGACTGTCAGTGTAGATACCAAGATATTTAAAACGCGAGCACCTTTTGATTTTAATATATTGTGAATCATTGAAATTAAAATCCAAACAATTGTAGGGAGGAAGGCCTTTAGTGTGATGACTAAATGACATAAAAAACGTCTTCTCAAAATTCATGCTGAGTAAGTTGTTGTTAAACCAAGTTATTAATTTTGGAAAATCATCAAGAGACTGTAAAGCTCTTCCCAGGTACTAAGTTTATACTTGAACCCCGGCGTCATCAGCGAAACTGATCACTTCAGCCTTACTGTCGACTTTTTAAAGGTCATTAATATACTTAGATATTATACAAAATCGGGCCCAGGACAGTTCCCTGAGGAACGCCGCAGTTCAACGTTAAAAGTCAATATTTTCCAGTTTCTCAATCATTAGACCATGAGAGATCAAAAGTCTTGGCGAGGTCAACGAAGATACATTTATACGGAATATTTTTATCCACTGATTGATATACTTGAAACAAATCCGCCAATGCATCCTGCCTTTTCTGAATTCATATTGGTTAGTAGATAATATGGTATTACTTTCTAGGTGGCAGTCTATCCGTTCTTTTAATATCTCCTCATAGATCTTAGAGAAATTACTAACTAGTGATAGTGGACGATAGCTTTTCACGTCTTTAGGATCATCCGTTTTAAGAAGATGTTTAACTATGGCCTGCTTAAAAACATCAGGATAAATCCCGTCCCTCACTGATTTATTTATTAGAATTTTTTTTTAAATTTTTTATTTTTTTTTTATTTCCTATAATAAATATCTACCATATATTCCTAACCAGAATCTATAAAGGTAGGTATCAAAAATAATTAAAAGATTAAATTATTTATGAAATATGTACCTAACTAAATTTTTTCTTTTCATTATTAAAATAGTCAATAAAATAGTCCGAGAGGTTATTCTTTGTTCTATTTTTTCTTCTTATTAGACCTCATTTACACCCAAGGGACTCGGTGTTTTTCCTTTCTTTCATTTTTTCTTGTTCTTTTCCAGTGCAGCAGTGAAGTGAAGTATCTATCGTTTTTGTGTTGTTCGTTTCAAGAACATTTCAATAACCTGAAAGAAGTTTTTGACTGCTTCCGAAATGCCAACTTGAAAGTCAATCCAAATAAGTGTTTTCCATTTCAGGAGGTGGAATTCTTAGGTCACGTGGTATCTGAAGATGGCATACAAGTTATGGGAGGAAAGATAGATACTGTCAGGGATTGGCCAAAGCCACACAACAAACATGAACTGAGGAGTTTTCTGGGATTATTTTCTTATTATCGAAGATTTGTGGAAGGTTTTGCCAATATACCTGCTTCGCTTCATCGATTACCGGAAGAAAAATCAACATTCAATTGGACCCAAGAATGCGATTCCAATTTTAGGTAGGTAATTAAAAGGAGCATTATGTACGAGCCCAGTGTTATCCTATCCCGATCAGAAAGGCATGTTGCTTTTGGACACAAATGCAAGCAACACCAGTATTGGAGTCCTTTAATAAATCCAAAATTTACAAGAGCATGTCGTAGAGTACTACAGCAGAATCTTATCAAAGCCGGAACGAAATTATTGTGTCACCAGAAGAGAGTTGCTTGCCATAGTAAAAGCAGACGACCATTTCTATAACTATCTCTACGGCCATAAGTTTCTAATTCGAACAGATCACGTCGCTCTAATATGGCTTTTAGAAATGAAAATTCCCGAAGGACAGCTTGCTAGATGGATTCAGAAATTGCAGCAATACGATTTCTTAATTAAACATCGACCTGGAAACCTGCATAAAAACGCTGATGCTCTGTCTAGACGGCCATACAAAGAAGAGTGGAAACATTGTCAAAGAATCGATAAGCATGAGAAAAACACTGGTCTAGCTGTGGGAAGAACGGGTGTTATCCTTGATCATAAATGGACTGCCAAACAAATGAGGGCAGATCAAGAAGCAGACCAGGAAATCGGAGAAATGCTACATCTTAAGGAAAATGATGAATGTAGGCCAGAATGGAGGGAAGTGTCGAACAAGAGCTTGATTTACAAGGCGCTGTCGGCTCAGTGGAACTCTCTGGCCGTAGAAAATAGTTAACTTAATAGAGTTTGGGAAAGTGCCGATGGGAAATCCACTGAGAGCCAACTGGTTATTCCAAAAGATCGAGTAGAAGATTTATTAAAAGAAATACATGACGGAGCTTCAGGGGCACATTTTGGAGTTAACAAGACAAAATTCGGGAACGTTTTTACTGGTTTCACTATCATGAAGACGTTAAAAACTGGTGCCGAAAATGCGACATCTGTGCTACCAGTGAAGGCCCTAAACTAAGATCTCGGGGGCCCATGAAACAGTACAACGTCGGTCTCCCATTTGAACGAATAGCGATAGATGTTGCCAGACAATTCCCTGAGTCAGAGCGTGGTAACAAATACATCAGTAACCGAATGAAGACCAGATACGACCTGAAAGCCAATTCAGTTGGATTTCAAGATGGTAATTTGGCGTGGCTGTATAATCCACAAGAAAGAAAGGAGTTTCGCCGAAATTGTCTTCAGCATGGGAAGGACCGCACAGAATAATCAAGAGGATTTGGTTTATCGAGTTCAGCGTATAAACCAGGAGTAAGATGAAAGTTGTAAATCTGGACAGATTGACGAAATATTATGGGCGTGAAGTGGATCGGGACGATCAACCTTACGAGGAGGGCAGTGTTACGATGCGCTTTCGCTACGGTATCCAGAATACAGCCTAAAATTCCAGAAAAGATTTCCTTAGTCGGGCAAATAAGATTATTGCGTTTATTCTGGATTTTACACGAATAGATTACGGATATATAAAGGCCGAGATTATATAGTAGGTATAGTTTTTAAGTTCAAGATTGACTGTGATATGATTTAGATAGTGATTATTGTTAAAAGTTGTGAAGAGTTTGGTTTGTTTCAGTTAATTAGTGAAGTTTTTAGTGAAGTAATTAGTGTCAGAGTGTACAGTACGTGGAATAAATTATTGTTGTTAATTGCACTTTGATTTTGGAATAAACGAACCCAAGATTTCTGTCACGCTCCCCAGAGCCGTGACAATAATTTAATTACCTAGCTTTAATCACCTACCTATCACCCAAATTCTATTCGTCCACCACTGCCGTTCACTATCGAAGGTAACAGGTAGCCAGCCAGCGATTTCATTATGTTATTTATTCCTAATTTATTTTTACTGTTATATGGCTTTCTCACACTATTATGAAAATCAATTCAAATATTTCAAGGAACCTAACTATCCAAAACTTATTGAAAAATAGTCCTATTATGGAAATAGAAAAATTATGCAGATTCAGAAGATATTGCTAACCCCAAAAAACTCATTAGCAGCTCAAAAGTTTGGAAATAATCACGAAAATGGAACAATTGTGAAAATAGAATAATTGATGATATTTACCTATTTAAAAAATTTTACTATCTCTAAAAGACAATTCGAAAGGAACAGAGCCTCCTTCATGAGAACGAATACGTCAACACCGCCTATACTTATAATCTGTATATATCTGTATATATCTAACCCAAACGCATATTATTTATGCTTTTGCTTTTGCAAATTATTTTTACTTTCAACTTACTAGTAAACTTTTACGTTTTCAAAAATGAACTCTGCTCAAAGGAAGTTGAAATTCGCCTTTGTGTGTTCTTCCCATTTATTTTATCTAGTAAAATCTAACTTATGATATTTTTCAACTGTGAGCTCATTTATTTCAACAATTTTTGATATGGTCTAGATTCCATTCTCTCATCAAAGTATTACTAATCCTAATTATAAATAATTACTATAGTGTTTTCTTCGGTACGACGCAGCAAAGCCAAAATTACTGTTTATGATTACTTTTTTAATTGATTGGTTTTTAAAAATAAATCAGTGGCGTATTAAGTGTAGTATTACCGTTCAACAATTTTGAACACACTCAAACACGCCTCTGTAAAAATTGAAAAAATCGTATGCAGACGTACACGTTTTTGAGGGCAAATAAATTAAGGCCATCAACAACTCAATTTAAAACGCATCGCGTCAATATCGTTCAATTGACGGCAATTTGGTGATATTTATTAATGTCTGATGGGTATTGTTTTGTTTACAGACTCGATATGGCTGCAGCAAATGATTTTACAACTGAAGAACTCCTCAATGACTTATACAAGTGTGTCAGCGCTGAAGCATTGAAGAAAGAGAATATTGAGAAGTATGATTTGAAAATATATGGTACCGAAGATAAAATTGAACAATATGGAAGTGATATTGCTTTTATTGACATATCGGCTGAAAATTTTGATTCGGATAAACGGATATATAATTTGGTTTTGAAATATGGACACACTCAAAAAAATATCAGAAATAGGATTCCAATAAGAGATGGGTTCAAGAGGGAAATAGAAATATATTCAAAGGTATGTAGATTTTTCTGAGACATAAGTTTTTGCTAATGAGGATACATTTGTAGTTGATTCCTTGCTACCAAAGATTCCAGCAAGATAAAGGCGTGTCAATATTCAGCTCAACGCCAAAGTGTTTTTTGACAAAATTTTCAGAATCTGATGAAATAATTGTGTTAGAGAACCTGAAGAGAATGGGCTATGATGTTCACACTAGAGAAAAACCTATGAACATAAACCATATAAAGTTGATATTAGAAGCTTACGCCGAATGGCACGCCCTATCTCTTGCCCTTGAAGACCAAAAGGATGAAGAATATTTGGAAATTAAACTACATTTCACAGAAAATCCATGGAAAACTTATCTGGATAATCAATTGGGGGAAATGATAGATGTCGGGCAAAATTCTTTGTACGCCATATTGGAAGAAAACGGACACATGGATTTGTTGAGAAAATATAAAAACAAATTGGGAAATGAAAATGCAAGAACCATTCTAACAGATTTGATGGAAGCTAAAGAAAACGTTTCTGTGGTTTTGCATGGGGATTGCTGGAATAATAATTTTTTATTTAATTACGAGGTAAAGAAGCATTTTTATTAAATACATATTTTTTTCGGCACCCTGTCAGAAAACGAACAGTTATAGTCCCTCGTTTTTATTCCAATCGGTGACTTCACCGATGAGTTAGCTATCTTTGTTAAGTGAATGGAAAATGACAATGACCGACATAGAATGGTGGATCCATCGGTAAAATTTGATGAGAATAAAAACGCAGGATAGGTAAATTTTCTCTCAGAGCAGAGAAAGTACGTGTTTTTTAAACCAAATATGTAATTTTCACATTTCTTACTGGTTTGAAGGTTCGAAAATGTCACTTTACTTTTGTTTACTTTGAAGGAGCCTGAAAGTGACAGTTCTCCTGTCACTTTCGACCTGGAGAACTCACTTTCGGCCTGATAAATTTTTCTTCGATACGTAAACACAAATCCAGGTCTACTGTTTGTATTTAGAAGTAGATGTCACATGTGCTGTGTGCTTATATTGTTGAAATTTCATAAGATGTCAATGTTGGTGTCAGAGTCGAAATTCCATTTTTGTCATATTTTCACCTTCTTTTTTTAAATAATTAATGGTTCAAAATAAAATAGTATACATATTTCGGTGGAAAGTTTTCACATTGTCTCGAAAATTGATTGACCTCGGCGCTTCGCACCTCCGTCAATCATAGCATCTCTCGACAATAATGAAACACTTTCCACCTTCGCATGTAATATACTATTTTACTCGCCTAACGACATCACACCATCGTGTGTCGTACAATTTCTTTTATCTGCGTTCAAAAACTGTGAGAATCCATTAATTACCAGAAACAATAGTTAGTTATAGTTATTTCCCTAACAAGTGCGGAAAGTATTTTTCCGCACGTGATTGTCGTTAGCTGCACGACGCGAAGCGGAGTTCGGATAGCAATCGAGTGCGGAAAACTTACTTTCCGCAAGTGTTAGGAAAACAATTTTTCCAACGAGCAGACAATCAAAAACACAAAAATAAAAACAAATATGAATCTATATTGAGCAATCGGGTACTTGCATGGAAAATTAAATTGATTATTGTTTATTGCAAACTGTAGGAAATCGAAAAAAAATCGATACCTATTTTTTTATTTTGCTCAAATATGATTATTCCGGAAGTTATTCAAATATTAAGTTTTGTATATATAGATATACTGAGCATGTGCCACATCACTAATTTATATGATAAGTGACGTCATAAGTATATTTCATAGCGTTGTATCTCCGTCAATTTTTGACTAAGAAGAAAAAGAAAAAAACACGTGTTGACTTATTTTTTATCGACTAAATTGATGCAAGTACCCTATTATAGAATCTGCAACATTTGTTTAACATTTGCTTTTACAAAATTCATAATCTGCTGAAAATTAAACATTCACCATTCACCATTGTTTGCATATCGTAGGTATTTCTTCTTTCACGACCTGACGACGTGTGGAAAAAAAATTCCAAACGAGTGCGGAAAAATTAGTTTTATAATAATCCCAACACCAATAACTGGGAAGTTTTAAATTTTCCATTCTCGGAAAATGCAAGTTTTTCTCTTAAAACTTCGACCCTTCAATAAGGGTAATTAAATAGGGTAGTGGACAAGATATGATTCCAGTGAAATCGATGATTTATTCTTCATCTATGAAGTAAATAAAAAATATTCGTATTGAAAGAAATTTCAGAAAAAAATACTAACTTTGTTTAAAACGGTTGTAAAACTAGAGTTTTGGGACACACTATTTAAACGAAAATATTTCGCGCCTTGATTTAACGTCATATTGTGTTGTGTGTCATATTGTTGTATTCGAGTATGAAATGAATCAAACCTTCGTCTTATATTCGACACACACTTACTCATTAGTGCAAAAAAGAGAGATATATCAGCGTCATTACCTAGGCGCACTCTCAACTTAACCACACTTTTTGAGAAATTATCATTTGTCAATCAGAACAGTCTGAGTTTATCTGCATCTTTTTCTAAAAGCAGGTAAAATATAAGGACGCGTAGACCGCGTCGAAGCAACAGCTATGACGTCATTTTCGGGGCGGTAAATCATAGCGTTTAAAATTAAGCACAAATTTTTTAATTTTTTTTAGGTTTATTTTTGTTTTCTAAAATCAAAGAATCATCAATTACTATTTATTTTGTTATGGAGAATAATAAAAAAAATATTTCAAAAAATTGTCCACTACCCTATTAAGCGTCCACTGCAGTATTTCTTAATCACATCAAGTAAATAATAATAATAAAAAAAATCGACTTGAGACAATCATTGATGACTTTCCCAAGAATCCTATTGCTTGAAAGTGGGTCATATGAGAATCATATTATGTAGAACTTTTTGCCGGATGGATAATGTCATTGTACTTTAAAATCAAAATCGATTTTCTATAAATAATTTCATAATTTGATTGATTTTTAGGACACTTGTCTTTGTAAAAGCTTGAACTAATAATAAGGTCAAACTAACTAACCAATAATTTTATGTATTTTGCAGTCTTGAAAAAAGTCATTCAGGATTCGAAGAATGGTTTGTTCGCATCTGGTGAATAATCCATTTTATCTAAAACATTTTTACTATCGGTTCTAGTATTCAGGTATCAGCTAATCTCTTTAAATTCCTATTTTTGACTTTTCGATAAGAGTTGTTGAAAAAACGTCTCATTGAGGAGCTGCGTCAAGTTAGCCCCCCCACATTCGAATTTTGTAAAAAAATTGCAACCACTTACTGTGCACGAAGTGTGCTTTACTGTGCCGATGATATTTTGAACTGTGCCGTTTCGATAACAAAGTTATAGGAAAAAATAGATGAGGGGCTAACTTGACGCTCAGCCCCCCCAAAATTTTGGAAATCAGATGAAACCAAGAAGGATTCTTATCCAATCTGAAGTGTGCTGAACTGTGCTGTATAAGGTTTTTCTCAAAATTTCCACATTCGGTCATTTTCCGACATGATCCTACTGGGGGGCTAACTTGACGCTCAGCCCCCCCAAAATTTTGAAAATCAGATTAAACAAAATTGAATTCTTATCCAATCTGAAGTGTGCTGAACTGTGCTTATTCAGGTTTTTCTAAAAATTTTCATATTTGGTTATTTTCCGACAAAATAATCATACTGGGGAGCAGGGAGTCAATTTAAAGCTCAGCCCCCAAAAATTTTGAAAATCAGATTAAACAAAATTGAATTATTTTCCAATCTGAAGTGTGCTGAACTGTGCTGTATCAGGCGTTTCTCAATAGCCGGTCCCAGACACTACGTGTATTCGGCGAATATTCGGTACCTATTCGGGTTTATTCGCGTAGCGTGTGGGAGGGTAACTTTGGCGAATATTCGTCCTTCGTCATTTTCCCGCCGATTATCGGTAAACTCGCACGAAGCAAAGGAAGGCGAAGTGACGCGAAGTCCACTACGTGTGACTTCGCACTGCTCCTAGACGCTTCGGGGGTATATGCATAGTGTTTTGTCAGTTTATAGCGGTGTGCAGTGCCGCAAGGTTGATTTTTGCATATCTAGTTATTTTTAATTAAGATAAGAAATGGAGTGGACCAATGAATTAACGGTAGAATTTTTACAATTATTTGAAAATGAACCTGTCATTTGGAACCCAAAGATACCAGAGGTGTTTTCTGGCGTCTCAAAGTTTTGAAACATTTTTTAAAACTGGTTTAAAACAGTTTCACAATGACGTCATAATTCCTTTTGCGCGAGAAAATGATTGAAAACGTAGATTGGATTATATTTCGAAGCGGTTTGAACCAATTTTGTGTGAAATCATGGGTTCATCGCGAGATATACTACTTCAAACCTGTTTTGAACTAGTTTCAAAAAAGTGAACGCGAGAAAACAGATCTGCCGAAAATGACAGAAGTAGCGGCGACAACAATCTGCTCTTCATCAATGTCCATTTGAACTAAATAAACGTCATACATGAAACGCCACTGAGAATCGACGGCCATCTGCTTGGAAACTTCGCCGAACAATTGTCAAGCCAAAGCTTCGCCATACCACAACGCCGTGTGGGAGACTAGGCAAAATATTCGTGGGAATAACGAATATTCGCCTATTCGCCGAATACACGTAGTGTCTTGGACCGGCTTAACGTCAGCTATTGCCTAATTGCCTATGAGTTCCCCTCGTTTAATTTTTGAAAGTGCTCTTTTAAAGATGTCAACAAACTTTTTTGCTTGTCCATTTGACTGTGCCAATATGCTGTAGAAGTATACTTCTTCTAATTTTGATATTGTAAAGCTTGACGTGATTGTTTTAGCTTTAAAAACATCAGGCCATCTTGAAAAGGCATCAACAATAATTAAATAATTATAATCGTTAATTGGACCAGCACAATCTATATGAATTCGTTGCCATGGACCCTTTGGAACAAGCCATGCTAGTGGAGAAATTTTTGATGGACTTCTTGAAACTTCTGCACATTCTTCGCATGTTCGCACAAAATTGATAATATCCCCGTCTATATTTGGCCTTTAAACATATCCACGAGCTATGGATTTCATTCTTTCTTGTCCAGGATGACCAGTATGCAGTGATTTTAGAAGACAATTCCAAAATTTCAATGGTATGACTATTCTATCTCCAAACATTAGACAAGCTTTAACAACGGATAATGAGTCTCGTCTATAATAAAAATTAAGTGCATAGTTTTCAATATCCTTTTTGTTTGTTGGCCAATCATTCTGTACATATTGAATAACTTTAGAATAAATTTTGTCTTGTTGAGTTTTTTGATGAATCATCCTAAAAGTAATTGGCAAATTTTCTAAAACTTCATCAAATATATGACAAACTTCTGATTCGATGTTGATCTGAGCAATCAAATATTTTTTATTTGCAACCATATATGTAATCTTGACATTACTGACTTTTTAAAAATTTGGTGTCACTTTACCTGTGTCACTTCCCTCTTCGATTTCCCTCACCGATTTCCCTATTCGACTTCCCTCACCGATTTCCCTCACTCTAATTTATTTACCTTCGCTGACAACAATGAGAACATGTC